ACGCGGGCGATTCTGTTCTTCTTGCTGATCGATGGTTTCTTAGCTGGCCGTCGTCCATGGAGTCCAGCATCTTGAAGACGTCTTCTGACGGTTCTCAGGGATGGTGTGACTTCATTTGGAGTCTTCACGACCATCTGAATGTCCGTAGAACTCCTCTGGGGATCCTCTCTTGAAACTCGGACGATGTTCCGATCCATGTTCTTCGACGTGATACGCGGTCTTCCAGGCGATTTTCGCTCCACCAAGGCTCCCTAAACATTTTTTTCCATAACTATACTATTTTCGAATATTACCTCATCCCGAAACTGCTTCAAGATCTTCTCGATGGCACGTTTAGTAACATTGAACTGCTGCGCCAAGAAGTCCTTGGAACATCCACTTCTGAAGCCGATGACGATGGCTTTACGGATGTCCTGAGAGATGTTTTTTTTTCCGAGGGGTCTGGCCATGTCTGTAAACAGTTTTAAATACATAGGAGCCAAAACCAACATTCTTAGAAACCATAATATCCAAAAATATAAAAATATGAAAAAAGTGAAAAAACGAAAAAATTGAAAAAATTGAAAAAAACAAAAAATTTCTGAAAATGATGCAATTTCCTTGTACGCAATTTGTCGTCACCGTGTACGACATGCACAGTAAAATTTTCAGATCGATCCCTTAAGTTTCAGCAAAGTTACTCTCAAAAAACCGTTTGCGAATACCTTTTTGGCCAGTACTGTACATATTTTTCAAAAGAACGTTTTCGGTTTCATGGTTTTCAAAAAACTTTGAAAATCTTCAGGTGGGACGGATGTATTTTTTTTGGCATCCTAATCCTGAAAACGTTTACATGAACGAATTTTCGGAATTCCTTATACTATTTTTGATTAACTTTTTTGTCGTTTTAATGTAAAAATTAGAACATTGGAAAAAAGGATATGCCAGAAAATTAAGTAATAAGTTCCATCAAAAAAAAATTTAAAATTTTTGGAAAAGTTCTGAAACAGACTTCAAAATTTTCGGAATTTAACAAAGGAATCATTGAAACAAGTGGAGTAGCATGCTCGAAAATAATTATAGATGATTTAAAATTTTTGAAACTAAAATTTGAAAATGATACCAAACAAAATTAGAGTTTCTGAAAAGGCAAAAAATTTTTGAATACGTATTTCTCTTCTATATAAGATTCAAACGGTTTTTTTTCAAAATGACAAAACTAATTAAAAAACATGTTTTAAGTCCGAAGATTCTTTAGTACTGTAAATTCCAAAAAAAAACACCTTTTTGCAAAAGCGCCGCACAGTTTTGAAACATTTTTCTTCAAGAAAAGCACCCAAAACGAAATTCGGTGAAAAAATAACTTTGGAGAAAGACGTTAACGAAGGCTATGCGACGCTTTAAATGAATCTGTGACTTCTGAAACCGAAAATTTTTTAATGTTCTTGTCTGAAATTTCCCCCATACTCCCTGTCATATGTCCCATGTCCATGTCTCCAATTTTTTCCAAAAAATCCCCGTTATTTGTCTCAGAACCATCTTCCTCCTTCCATCCCACCACCTCAACGTCCATCAAACCACTCTCCTCCACCCAGTTCGTGGTATGCACCAACCACGTATTCACAGGTCAGTCCCTTTTTCCCTTTGTTTATTCCCTATTGTACAGTATCGAATATCAAATGAGCAATAATTTGTTTAGAATGTTTATGTTTCAAGTTTTGCACTTTTTCGCTCCGAACCACTTGATCATTTGAAATGCGTTTTGTTTTGAATCATATGAGGGAGAGAAGTTTTTATGTCTGAACCATCAATGTGTGATTCATGGAGTTTTTTGGCCAAAAAAGGGGGAGATGAACAAACAAATACAGTCAATAGAAGGCAGTTTATGAAATATGACGTCATTAGAAATCAGAGATAACATGGAGTAGATCATTGAGTAGCTGTAAATGATGAATTTAGGGACATTTTGAAACAGTGGAACCTATGAAAATCATACTTTGATATCATTTGTATTGGATCCTGTAAAATACAGCAAAATATCTCAAAAAGGTTTCTTTTTGAATGTGTTTTTTGAAAAAGTGAACCAAGTTTGGTACGGATCAGGCCTGTGCGGCAACAAATTGCCGAATTTTCGTTGCCGATTTGCCGTTGCCGATTTCGGCAAAAAAATTTCGGCAATTTCGGCAACTGAAATTTTTTTGAATTTAGAGATTTTCACAATTTTTTTAGTCAAAAAAATGATTTCGAAGTTCGAGAAATCAAATTTTGAATACCATCATCCCTCAGAGTGAATTTTAGAGGAAATGTGTCCCAATAATCATCAAAAATACTTGCATCGGATCTAAAAATGGGCTTCAAATATGTGAGCATAGGAGAAAAATAGATATCATGAGTCACAACTCATCAAAAAAATTATCCAATCTGTCTCAAATCTCTAGGGAACGTGTGTCGTGAGTTGCCTAACAAGTTGAGCACACTATTTTCAAAACTCACAATCGGAACAAATATTTTCAACCATTGGAATACCCTCTATTGCTAAAGGGAAATAGTTTGCATAAAAATGTGGTCTTGAGTTGCCAATTTTTGTAATTACTTTTTTAAGGAACTTATGAAACACATTTTCTGTAGTTCTGAGCCTGATAGAAGCATTTTCAGGTAAGTTACGTATCGATTTTACTAAAAAAACGCAAAACTTTTGTTGCCGAAAATTGCCGAAAGTTGCCGAAATCGCCGAATTTTGTTTTCGGCAATTGCCGAGTTGCCGAACGTTGCCGAAAAGTCTTCGGCAAATTGCCGAGTTGCCGAATTGCCGAAAAAATTTTGTTGCCGCACAGGCCTGGTACGGATGAAAGGTCTACCTTTTTATAATTAAGAAGGCTAAAACTCTAAATTTGAGACATTTTTGAAACACTCTTCAACTGCTTCTATTCTTTGTTAATATGCCCGACTTCTTATTCTATTATTGCTATAGCGTTTTGATCTAGGTTTAGATTAACTTGAAAAAATTTCTTTCGATCATTAGCTTTCGCTTCATTAAGTTGACTGTTATACAGAGTAGGTTGAAAAAAAGGAGTCCGCCGTTATCAGTTGATATTTTTTGATTTCGAATATCAGTAGATATTTTTTGATTTCTTTTATGGGTACTTATAATCAGTAAAAGCGGAAAATGCACAGGTTGATCGAAGAATTACGTTGTTCGAAATTCTCCTCAAGTTCTGTTAACTTAATTTTTCTAAAGCTTATCGATAATTCAAAAAAAAACATGTTTGAAATTATAAGAAGCTGTTAAAATCTCTGTAACGAAGATTATCATTCTCATTTCATTCGTAT